TAAAACAGCCCACTAAACTACATTTCCAAGAGTTGCCACATACCAGGAACAGTAACAACAGCGTCCTTAATCTTCTTTCCAAGGAATGCTTCAGCTGTCTCCTTCATCTTTGTCAGAATCATTGCACTGATTTCCTCAGGACTGAAGACTTTAACTTCCCCATCCTTGATTTTTACTTGTATGTAAGGTTTACCATCCTTGTTCACAATCTTGTATGGAACCAGCTTCATATCCCTTTGTACCTCCTTATCCTCAAACCTGTGAACAAGCGCACAATGAGTTCAACTTCATACTATAATTATAATATGCCAACTCAACATGTTAAGAGAAATGTGCATTACTTTCTTCCAATAAGTCTCTTCACATCAAAGATTGTTCTCTCAGCGTTGACAGCTGCAAGGTTCTTTGCAGCCTCACCAATCAGTCTTTCTGTGTCTGTGAAGGCAACCCAAGATGGGGTGATACGATTTCCTTGATCATTTGCTATGATTTCAACATGCCCATTCTTGTAAACACCAACACAAGAATATGTTGTCCCAAGATCAATTCCAATAACAGTTCCTAATTTAGTTGCCTCCTCCTTTGCAATAGAAATTGCAGATAGACATCCTATTGAATAAAATGGTCCAGTCAGTAATTCAGTACAAACTCGTCAAACTATTTAAGTTCCATTCATAAAAAATGTTAAAATGGCATAAGCTCTTCATAAGAATGCAATTTATAGGAGCATTAACGAAGAACAGTTTGAGGATCAAAGACACCACCCACAAGAAAATCTAAGCACAAGTGAAGAGAATAATAATTTATGGAGTGAGCTACATCTCTAAATGTCCTTAAGGTAATGATTAAAGTGACATTTTCCAGATGGACCAGATATATTTTGTACCATAAGTTTTACACAAAATGCAGATGGGTTTTGATATGGTTACATCATTGTGAATTGCAGTGCCATCAATCCATCAATTTTAGCGTGATTACATTCAGCTAACTCTTGGCTTTAGAAAAAGTAACATGCATGTGCAATACCTTAAAAAACAGAAACCACCTTTGGGCAATCGAGTTTGTGCACTAGCATTTATAGTATTCCATATACTTATACGTAAATGAGTTGTTGCAGGTTGGTGCATTGATAGGTCTGATAGGTGGTAAATAGCCACCATCTTCCAGTTAGGTTTAGTGAATAGAAGAGTTTATATGTGTAGAGGATACCAGAAAAATGAAGATGATTATTATATTTTCTTAGTATGAAGATTGAAGACATGCATTGTAGCTTCTTGATTTGCGTAATTACAAGACAAGGATAGCAGCAAGCCAGAAAGTCTATCAATGGCAGATATAACATACCTTGAGCAGCCATAAACGCCTGCTCAAAGCATGCTATGAATGTTTCAAGTTTAACAGTAAATACCACGTCGAACTATTGGGTATCAGATTAACAATATGTAGCAATCTCATGCAAAGTTCCGTTTTCCAAATAGACATAACAAGCACAAACAGACCCCAGCAACATAAAATTGAGTTTTAAAGATAAGCTATTATGCATTAGAAATATAGAATAAGTCTGAGTCCACACATTGTTTGCCCCAAAAAAATCTTTGATGAATTTAGAACATTCAAATATAAAAATAGTGACACAAGTATCATAGTTTGCCATGAAAAAGTATGCCAAATTTACACGCAGAATATACAAATATAAGTAGAGAGAACCAGATCTATTCAACTTGTTTCCTTATCATATAATTGTACGCTATAAATGAAAGAAAAGATGAGTGAGCTGCTTTTACCGATGAAGACGATTGCTAGGGCGAGGACTGAGCCGCTTTTCCTCCAATAGCCCCCTACGGCCATGGTTTACTTTCCTCTTCTAATCTCTACCTACATTTATGCATATCATCGATATATGAAACCCACATAGATCCATTCTCTAAAAAACAAAATTATATTCAGATAAATATAGACAAAATCAGCTCGAATTCAACTAATTGAAGTACGCCCTTTAACACAAAGCCTAGTATTTCCACGACATTGGACGGAAATATACAGACCCGTTCAAACATACAATAATGTCAGTAAATGATCTATGCATTACTCTATAAGAAGACAGTGATAATCGACTAACCTCAGGATACTAGAATGCGTCCAACGGGAAGAAGAGATGGAAATGGAGAGAGTAATATGGCGTTCGACCGTCTGGCTGAGATATGAGCGATTGAGAGAGATGGCGGATCCGATGAATTGGTACACCGAAAAGAAACGGTATAAATACAAGCGGAACTAAGGTTAGGCCACGTTTTGCAAGCCAATGAAATCACATTACGGTGCCACGTCACAGGACTGGTACTTTCTACGGAACCCATGTTTCTCAGCCAATCATATTATAACATTAAGCCACGTCACATGCCGAATCAGATTAGTCCAATGCTCCGTATTTGCTATTTAGTCCTTAGGAAGTTACAAATTACAAATTAAAAAAAACACAGGCTTCCCGAATGTAAAACAGGACAGCGATTTTGCTGGACGCCCCCGCCTAAGCAAAGGTGGCCAAGTTTTCCTCTAATGGATAGCTTGCAGAGGTCAAGCATGGTAGTGCTGTGATTGCTGCTATTACAAGCTGCAGAAATACCTCAAATTCTAATGGTATGAATGTATGATTGGAGCTGGGCTTGTTGCTAAAAAGGTCACTGAGCTGGGCCTTCTTGTATGTTTTTTATTTACATGATTTTAACCACTTCAGCATTATGGCTTCTCCTTGTTCTTATTGTATGCTTCTTTTTTATTCTGTATGTTAGGTAAAGCCATGGATTAAGACCAGCCTTGCTCCAGGATCTGGTGTTGTTAAAAAGTATTGGCTTCATATGTACTATCTCTACACTCTTTTCTTATGGAATCCATTTTCATGTACTTCTATATTCTAACTTTATCGGTTTGTTCATATACAAAGCGGACTACAGTTTGAATGCCCAAGGATTCCACACTTCGATATGGCTGCACGTACAATCAGTCAATCAGCATTGGCAATGTTGGTGATCTGGGTGAGGCAGTTGCTTCTGCAATATCAGAAAATGGTATTGTATTAGACGTTCCATTATTTGGTTGCATTGATAGGCTTACCCTTTGTTCTGTCTTTGTTTTCAACACAAATAAATGGTGTTTACCATACACAAAGCCTAACTTATTAGGTTTTTTGTCCCCCATATGTTGGCTTTATTTAATTCAGTTTTATAATAGCAACTCCTCAATACCCAAATCAAAGCCTGAAATGCAACAGGGCAGAAGTTCCATCAAGACCCTTGGAATGAAAATAATTGACAAAGTCCCTAACCAATAACAGTTCCTTAATGGGTCCGTAAAGCCATTGAAATGGAAACAAGTATGTACCAAAGAAACACGTCACCGATAACCTTGGTCCACGCGGGATAGCCAACACTCTGTGCTCCGAGCTCTTGAACCTATCACTCGTTATAAGCTGGAGAAGATCTCCAATGTTAATAACAAGAGCTCCTGGGGAGGGGGACATCCACCCACTGGTTTTGGTGAAGAATTTGAAGACAGACTATTGTTCTGGATGCTTGCTGGTGCCCAAAGTGAGGTTGGGTTCTGGATAGGTTGGGTAGTAACTAGTAATGCCCCAGGATGGCTAGCCCTTGTTGCAATCAATGTCTTTGATATATAGAGTAGTGCCAATGGAGGCCTAAAGCCTCTGACAAAATGCTCAGGCTTACTCTTTGTTCTCTTTTTCAGCAGAAAAAGTAATTTTTCATTGGTTGAAAGTGAAACCAATATTACCAAATACTTTTCCTTTCGGAATATTCAGTATACATTTTGGCACTTTATTTGTTACTTTCAAACTTGGTTTCAAATTACTCGCCTCAGTGCGAGGCGCCTCTACGTGATAAGTTATCGCATCTGACACTCCCTGGCGCGGCAGATCCCAACAAGCGTGATGCAATTATTGTTTCTAACAGTTTTAAAAGTGCAAAACTCAAAGTTAATACTACGTAATAGAAATGAACTCATAAACACAATATGAACCATCATTAAGACTGAAAGTATAATTTCAAAATGTTCACAATGCCATGAAGTAAATTAATGTAACTAAATTCAAAGTTCACACTTTAAGTCTTAAACTAAACCAATTAAAAATAGACTCTAAAGTCTGAAGTCTTAAGTAAAGTATGTAAGCCCTTAAATAACCTAAGTAAATAGTACCAGTAACATAAATAAAATTAAGATGCTGCTAGTAGCTATCCTCTGCTTAATCTCAATCCAATATTGCATTACTTTTTGTTCAAAATTCCCTTTCAAATCATTGAGAGAATGGGTAACTAAATCATCACAATGCACATCCATGAGCCGGTTGAACCTATGTTCATAAAATAGCCATATTAGGGGTAGATGTTTTTACAAACAAAAATACATACATAGGTGTGCATGTGTGATTGTTTCATTAAAAATTTTGGTCTATGATCAGAAATGTGCTTATAAATACTCGATAAAAATCATCACGACATGCGCATTTTATCATTCACAAAGCGACCCACATCACAATCATTATTTGAAAAAATTACATGAGAGTTTTGATGTAAGTTAGTGCATAAACTGTAACAGTAAAAAAAGATGTTAGAACATACCATCCAATTTGTTGGTGTGGAAGATCTTTTGGCAAGTAGAGTTCTACGTTTAAGAAAAGTTGCCATGTTAAGTGGAGGTCTCATAATAACCATCTCTTCCCAATATAATGCTTCATGATCCGATTACATAGTTTGGGTTATTTGAAAAGCATATGTTGTTTTTAATTGTTGATAATATCAATTATCAACCGTTACACATGGGAATATTTAACCGTTAATTGTTGATATTCTGCAATTTAGAGTATAAAATTAGAGTATTTATATTTTTAAAATTTTTAAATGTAATTTCTAAGACACTTTTAAATTTTTAAATTTTTGTCTAAAATAAGACACTTTTTAATGATGATAAAAAATGCAATTTCTAAGACACAGGAGTATAAAATCGCAAGTCAAAACTTCAAACTGTTTAAAGTATCTTCATTCAGACTATTTAAAAAAATAAATTAATTGAAAACCAAAACCGAACATAAACACCGACCAAAATAACAGTGGTAAGGGAAATCACCAAAAAGGAACTGGCTTCCATAGAATATCCGGTAAAGAAAAACTACACTAAATTAAACTGATATCACCAAGCAATTGCCCTGCTTGTCTACAGCTCATCATGAGAGTCATCATCATCTTCAGAAGCTCCACCACTTGGGCCGCCGCCTGATCTTCCGTAGACGGCGGATATGATAGGATTGCAAACAGCCTCAACCTCTTTAAGCTTTTCATCATAGTCCTCCTTTTCAGCGGTCTGGTTGTCATCTAACCACTCAAGGGCCTCTTTCACTGCAGTATCGATCTTCTCCTTCTCATCAGACTCAAGCTTATCCGCAAGCTTATCCTTGTCACTGATTTGGTTCTTCATGTTGTACACGTACGTTTCCAGACTATTGCGGGCATCAATCTTCTCCTTCATTTTCTTATCTTCTTCGGCAAACTCTTCCGCTTCACGAACCATGCGATCGATCTCTTCCTGACTCAGCCGCCCCTTCTCATTGGTGATGGTTATCTTCTCTAATTTCCCAGTCCCCTTGTCTTCAGCTTTCACATTCATTATCCCATTTGCGTCTACCTCAAATGTGACTTCAATTTGTGGGGTTCCCCTGTTCAATGATTCAGTGGGTCAAGAATGATAATTTGTGGATGAAGTGTTGTGATTTACTTCTGGTTTTAGGAATTAGGTATCTTTTATTTGGCTAATTGAGTGCAGGTCTTATCACACTCCTCATTAAAATAAAATTTGAGATAATATCTCTATAAATAAAATTTGGGGGGGAGATGAGCAGTTGCCAAACCTTGGAGCTGGTGGAATTCCACTAAGGTCAAACTTTCCAAGAAGTCTGTTGTCCTTTGTAAGACTCCTCTCACCTTCAAAAACCTGTCAAATATATATTACAGAAAACACATTTGGTATCAAGATCTATGGCAAGATAAAAAAAAAACATGTCTGCTAGTTGTGTTTATTACTTTTTGACAACTAAATAAATACCTGAATGGAGACAGTGGTCTGTTGGTCCTGGTAAGTAGTGAAAACTTGGGACTTCTTGGTTGGAATCGCAGTGTTTCTAGGAATCAGTTTGGTCATCACTCCGCCCACAGTTTCAATACCAAGGGTAAGCGGGGTGACATTAATCACAAGAACTTTTTTTGTTTCATCACCGCCTTCTCCGCTTAGAATTCCACCTTGTACAGCAGCACCATATGCAACTGCTTCGTCTGGGTTCACACCCTTGTTAGGCTCCTTGCCGTTAAAGTATTCCTTGAGAAGCTGTTGAACCTTTGGGATTCGGGTGCTTCCACCAACAAGTACAATTTCGTGAATTTGGTTCTTCTCCAATCTGGCATCTTCCATAGCCTTCTTCACAGGTCCCATTGTCTTCTTAAAGAGGTCGTTGTTCAGCTCCTCAAAGCGAGCACGGGTTAATGGCTCGGAGAAATCAGTTCCATCGAAGAGAGATTCAATCTCAACTCGGACCTGGTGTTGACTGCTCAATGCCCTCTTGGCACGTTCACACTCCCTTTTGAGCTTTCCCAAAGCTCTGTAATCCCTGCTTATGTCTTTTCCATGCTTCTTCTTTATCAGCTTGATGAAGTATTCCATGACCCTCTGATCAAAATCCTCACCTGCAAATGGATATATAAATGAGTTTCTTCAGCACAAAACCAACCACACACGCTTTATGTCTAGAATGCTACTATTTCAAAATTAGTGGATAGAGCCTCAACTATTGGTTCCAGAAGGGTGTCACCATTATACAAGACAATGAGAAATAACCTCACCTCCCAGATGGGTGTCACCATTAGTGGATAGAACCTCAAACACACCGTTATCAATGGTCAAGATACTGACATCAAATGTCCCACCACCAAGGTCAAAAACAAGGATGTTCTTCTCCTCGTCTTGCTTGTCCAGTCCATAAGCAATAGCTGCAGCAGTTGGTTCGTTGATAATTCTTGCAACATTAAGTCCGGCAATAGTACCTGCATCCTTGGTAGCCTCCCTTTGAGCATTGTTGAAGTATGCTGCAAGAAACCAATTAGGTTGAGGTATGCACGATATCAATTAGCACGTCAAAATGTGGCGGGCATGTGTGATACAACAGATCAAACTACGTTTCGATGAATAGCCACATACCAGGAACTGTAACTACCGCATCTTTAATCTCCTTTCCAAGGAATGCTTCAGCTGTCTCCTTCATCTTTGTTAGAACCATTGCGCTGATTTCCTCGGGACTGAAGACTCTAACTTCCCCATCCTTGATTTTGACTTGTACATAAGGTTTCCCATCCTTGTTTACAATCTTGTATGGAACCAGCTTCATATCCTTCTGAACCTCCTGATCCTCAAACCTGTCAACAAGGAAACTATTAGTGCAATTCGGTATGATATAAACCAAGCAGAAGTGCTTAGAGAACTGTGCATTACCTTCTTCCAATGAGTCTCTTAACATCAAATATGGTTCTCTCGGCGTTTACTACTGCCTGGTTCTTTGCAGCCTCACCGATCAGTCTTTCTTTGTCAGTGAATGCAACCCAAGACGGTGTAATACGATTTCCTTGATCATTTGCTATGATTTCAACATGCCCATTCTTGTAAACACCAACACAAGAATAAGTTGTCCCAAGATCAATTCCAATAACAGTCCCTAATTTAGTTTCCTTCTCCTTTGCAATAGAAATTGCAAACAGACATCCTATTGAATAAAATGGCCCAGTCAGTATTTCAATAATAACTCATCAAACTATTTAACAGTAGGTGTTATGACTGTTATCTAAGTATGAAGGCATGCATATTTAATTTCAAATTTGAACTGTCAAGAATATTATATAGGGTGCGTTTTGTATATATGACTCTTGGGGGTCATATTAACCATAAACAATCAGCTCATTTTTCAATGGTAATATTTATAGACATCCCCTCCAAAGTTATTTTTGCCTTCAAATTGACATCACAAGCACATGTATTCCAGCAATAGAGTTTGAAACCGAAGCTATGGTGCATCATATACAAGTAATACAACGTAGTATATAATACTAAGTATAACTAATAAGCTGGGTAACAATTATGTAATTGTAATTGAGAAATGGTTGGGAATAAGACCGTAACTTTGTCCATATACCTAAACAGGACCAGCTACTTTTTTATCCGCATATAGGACTGTTTTCAGATGTAGTGACCTATTTACCCTTATTTACCCTTCTCCTAACAAAGGCCTGGTACGTTCTCTTCTAAATTGAAGCACGGTGCAACCACTGCAGAGTCTACAGGGTGCGGCGGAAAATCCTGATTTCACGGCAATGGCATACCGACACGGCGGCGGCAGTTCTACAGAAACAAGGTGGCGACGGCATACTCTGCCCCGGTCGCACGTGGCGTAGCAGCAACACTGTCTCTCCTCCTCTTTCTTCCGCCTCGATCTCTTTCTTCTCGCCCCTCCATATTTTCTTCCGTCACTGTTCTTTTCTATTTTGCGGTTTTTGTGTGAGACTTCCGTTTTCTAATCAATTCAATTGTTCTTCAATTGCAACTACTAAACTGCAATTTGGTGTCCGTCGTGTTTTTTCCTTCGTTTTGCTGTTCTGTTTCTTCAATTTAATGTAATTTAAATCCCTTTTCAAGTTGCAACCACTGTTTTTTGCTTTCTTTATTAATTATGTTAATTACGTAGTATCTTTATTTTTATCATTATTTTATTTAATTCATTTTAGCCCTATACCCTTAAAATAGCAGTGATTTGGGATATTGATATGACTGCTATTTTATTTAGTAACGACATTGTTCATAAATTGTGTTAGCATTGTCACGTTTTCTTCTTATTTTTTTTACCTTTTATTTTATTTATTATGCACACAATGACGACATTAACTTTCAAGAAGTTACATCATTACATTTGTCATGTATTGACATCGTATATTACATTATCATACAATGACATCATTTTTTGCAAAGATGTTTTTCTACAAAAATTTGCTATTAACATTGTTACGAATATTGACATTATTATGTCATTGCAATTATTATACGGAGTATGTGACTGCTGGTTATATTGTTATGTTATTCATATTAGCATTGGTATCTAGTTATTGACAATGTCAGTAAAATATAGCAATATCAAGTAATGACAATGTCATTGTTAATCCTATTAAAATACAATTTAAAAAACAATGTTAAAGACTTGGAGCAATAAAAAATAAAAAATTATGGAGTACAATGTTTGATTTTTAATGTCCGAAATAATGTCATAATATTAGAAAAATGTCTCAATGTCAAGACGTCAAGTAATTACAATGTCAATGTTAACACTACAAAATTGACATTGTAATAATGAAAATGTTAATGTCAGTGTCAATGTTATTGCGACAAAGTCAATGTTATAAAAATGTCACCAAGTTGGGAAAATGTCACAATGTTAAACAATGACAATGTCACTATCACTGTCAATGCTATAAAATGATATTGTAATAATGACAATGTGACAATGTAAATATTATAAAAAAAGTCTCAACGTCGGAATAATTTCACAATGTCAAATAATGACGACGAGAATGTCAATTCTATAAAAATGATATTATAATAATGATAATGTAAATACCGAAGCAACGATTGTCGTGACAATGTCAATGCTATAATACATTATGACAATGATGTCATTCTTAAAAACAATGACATTGCTTTAAAAAAAATTACATGTTTCTATAGAAAAAACATTATTGAAAAATAAACAAAACAAAATTACGTTTTGGAAAAAGAAGTTTCAAATAAAAAAGAAAGAATAAGAAACACAACCAAAAGCATTCACGAGGAAAAAACACAAAAAAGTTGACCACTTTGACAAAACACAATGACAACCAAAGAAAACAAAAAAAAAAACAGGACAAAAGAAACGCAGAGATCGAACAGTCGCGACGGAAACAAAGAAAAAGAAAAGAGGAGAGATCTAGAACATCTTCATAGGCTCCGCCCTGTACCTCGTCCCCACCGTCGATCGTCTATTTTGCCCCAAGCTCCGGCTGGCCGCCGCCGCGCAATTGCCCCGACCCTTCTTATTCGGCTTCTGCGTGCCTCCTCCGTTGTTCGGCCAAAGAGCTGCTCCTCGCCATGGTTGGTGTTAGACCCCTAAAATATGGCTGGTACGAAACAGAACGACGGCTGAGTTTGCCGATAGGGTAGAGATCGGAAATAACAGATTCCCGCAACTTCTCTGGCGCGGTGGACGGCGGCGGTGAATATTGTTGAGGCGGTGATAAGCGGGCCGGTGAGTCGGTGGCGAGAATCGGTCCGGCGAGGACACAGATAGTTATCACATCGCATCTCAGAGCCCATCTATGTCCCACGTGATGCGGTCTTCTTTGCTGCTAGCGGTCCGCATGGTATTTGAAGAGCAGGGGTATTCTTGTCCTTCCGATTCAAAACTAATCCTATTTAGGAGTTAAAAACTCGGAACTCCTATCTACGTTCCTACGCATTGTTTTAGTCCTATTTGAGTGTTATTCCCATTTTATATGAGATAATGTAAGCTACGTGCATGGAAGAAATAATAATAATAATAATAATAATAATAATAATAATAATAATAATAATAATAATAATAATAATAATAATAATAATAATAATAATAATAATAATAATAATAATAATAATAATAATAATAATAATAATAATAATAATAATAATGGCAATAGTATTAATAATAATCATACGTAGTACCACGTATTATTTATCTAATACATACTACCTCCATCCTCCTGTGATTGTGACAAAAGAGAGTAGTGCGGTTTTTAAGAAAAGTATATGTGAATTAGAACCATACAAACATTAACAAATATAATATGAGACAAATTTAGTGGTATGGACAGAAAGGCAAAATTGGACAATTATAGTAGGATGGATGGAGTATCATGTACTTCGTATATACTATCGAGGGAGTATTGTGTACTTCGTATATACTACTCCGTATTGCATAAAGCCATACATGTTCTAAAACACTATTGATAACGAAAGCAATATTGGTGTACTCCGTGCGTATATATGATACCACTTGGCTTTAGTTTTGAACTTTTTTTATATATGAAGACCGTAATGTACGTGAATAATGTGAATTAAGCAATACACATAACTACTCCGATCCGTATATGCACAACTTAATTACCTTGGACTTTAGCTATAATTAATACGAAGTATTTGTAAATAATAAGTAAGTGTTCCTTTGAACAATATAATTGTGTATATACTCCAATTATTGAATTGCTCGGCATCTAAACTAGTTACAGACATAGAATAAGTCAAGTCTATGAAAACAATTAACATTGTTGAATTAATTAAGAACTTCCGAACATTAAATCTGTGACACAATTAATATAATATGCCATGAAAACAATTATTGCAGATTTTGACAAACAAATAAAATTAAATACTTCGTATTATGTGCTAGAGCTAGAAACATACTGCACACATTTGTGTGTTACGGAGTATATTACGTAATATGTGTGTGTGTGTGTATACTCGGAGTATATTATATTGTTTATATTTATAGATATAGATATACACATATCACATATATAGGTTTTGGATCAAAGAAAAATTAAAGCACTCGATCTTAACGTAAAAACTGCAACCCGTTGTCTCAATGTGATGCACTTTAACATTGGTCTGTTGCGATTTTTTTAACATTGATCGAACTATGCCAAATAAAAAAAGCAATTGCATTTTGGTAAATAAATCGAAGTTTTCTATCAACGTGAAAAAGTGAAATAGATTCACTACAAGAAAAATTGTTTTTCTGCGTCGACAAAAATACTCCGTACATCATATTGGGGAAGGTAAACGATTTACAATTTTCACGCGAAGAGTGATTTTTATTTGATGCGCACTTATGTACATATACTATAAATAAAAAAAAAGCTAGGCGCTATATTAATTAATTTACGGGTTTCTTAATTTACCGATGAAGACGAGTGCTAGGACGAGTGAACCGCTTCGCTTCCAATAGCCACCTCCGGCCATGATTAGTTATACCTACATTACATTTATGCACATGAGAATCATATACGTATAGTAGTATATCCATTATTATTTTATCTATAAAAACAGAACTATAAACTAAGTTCAAATTAAATAAACAAACACATACGAAGTATATAATTAAAATAAGCTTCAAATTAATCAAATAAACGAACTGATACGTTCTACCGAAACGTGAAAATCGTGATAACATGGGAAGCGGAAAACATCATCTTAAACTCAAAAAACAGCTATTTAGTTAATTTTTAAAGAGTTTCGTAGAATTTCCGAAACGGAAACCAATATTTTCCCAAAAGTTTTCGTGCTAAATAGGTTTTCATTTAGGTACGTATAAAGATATTGTAAGATCACCTGAAGAAGAGAGAGAGAGCACGTAGGTTTATTGGCACTTTGAATTGTATTAATAGATGAAGCTAAGGTTTGTTGATTTCGCGCGCTACGTACCTATTGAGAGAAGCATGTGTATTTATAGAAAAAGAGAGGTGTGGTGTTCCAGCTAATCAGGATGCGCCACGTGGCAGTATTTCATTAGTCTGCTACAACTCCGTTCAGAACATGCATAGTACGTAACTAATTTGGCATATTTCGAAAACCACTAGGACTGTTTATCATCATTAAATTAAAACGGAAATTTCACATGTTTCAAAACCACTAGGACGGGTTATCATTAAATTAAAAGGAATAATGATAAACTAATATTATAGAGTTTTCAAAATACAAAAGTAGAACTTGTTTTGAATGGATTACTTTTTTGGCATAAAATAGATTGAACTTGTTTTAAATGGATTAGTTAATAATGCTTTTATGTTATCCCAGGGGTGGAGGCAGAGGGGGGGCCAACCAGGCCCTGGCCTACATCGAATTTGAAAATTCTTTATATTTTAGTGTAAAAGTTTATGTGTAAAAAAATATTTGAAAAAAAATCTTTGTACCGCTTCACCCCAACCATCGATCCTGGCTACGCCCCTGGTCTTACGTACATCCCTTTAACCCTAAATCTATTTTATAAAAACTCATCACTTTTCACATCTCATTTACGACATCCCAGATACTCCAGTAGGGTGGAGCATAATGCGGTATGCGCTGGAAAATCGGACTGAACCAGACTGGTCGGTCCAGGCCGGTCCCGAGCCAATTCGATTAATTGTGATATATATATGGTATGGTCTTCAATTCAAGGGTTTTACCTATTCCAATTCTGGTCCGGTTCAAAACCAAAAATATTTTGGTCCATACCAGTTGGGGCGGCGCGGTCGAAATTAAAATACTATATGTAGAAATATATGCTTCAATTCATGTATACGTAGTATTTCTTTTTATATCTATTAAAAGTGGTACACACACCAACACACACACATATATGTACATTAAGTGATATATACTCCCTCCGTCCCACAAAGATTGTTCCATTTTATCTTTTCAGTTCGACCCACTAAGACTGTCCCAAATCAAATTTGGTAAAGTTTGGCTGACTCTAAATCATTCTTACGTTATTCTTACTTAATTAATTCAATATCAACCATATATATCACTTTTAATTGATTTGTGTGTCACTCCCTCTTGTCTCATTGTTAGTGGGATGGAGGAAGTAGAATTCTTCTGATATTTAACTCTAGTTGCATATTATGTTCGTATTTAATATTTACACCAGTGAAGGTTATAACTTGAAAACATTAAGAGGACGTTTGGTGAGATGAAAATTAATTAGTTTGCATGTGAAATGTAAGGACATAAATCTTTAAGCTCTAGGACACTTTGTGGTTTTGTAACATATAGAGTATTTTATATGGGTGATAAATTATTTGCATGCTTTTTATAAAGCACTGCAATATAATGACTTGCGGCTTTGTGTGCAATTTAAAAATAAATTACATATATAGGAACAAAGTAAAATCTATTTTACATGTAAAGTGATTATTTCCTTAAAATTTATATGCAATAATGTCGCGTGCAAATGTTTAATGTGTAAACTACCAAATGAGTCCTAAGAGTATAATAATGCATTTTATTTACCCGCTGCGGGCCATTTGATTAATTGAATTTTTCTTTGTTAAATATACAAAGTTATTGAGTCAAATCATTCATTGAATTGATCAAGATAGAAATTCTAGTTTCTTGTAATGATATGATCATATGACTTTAGATACAGTAAAAATCGATCAATTTTTTAATACTCCCTCCGTCCCGCAAAGAAGTTCTCGCTTTCCTTTTTTAGCAGTCCCAAAAAGAAGTTTCTCTTTCTTTAAATGACAAGTTATCTACATTAAAACAGTGCCAAATAGTGCAAAACAGTGTCAAATAGTGCCAAACAGTGTTGAAATAGTGTTAAAACAGTAAAATTTACCCCCTGGTAACTTTATTTCCTTAATATGTGTGTAGGTCAAACCAGGACCTTCTTTGCGGAACGGAGGGAGTATATTTTAGTTATGCATAGTTTGTGTTTCATTTCTACTCTTATATGATGTACTTGTTTTTATAATGCGTGTTGGGCGATGAAGTTAGTGCACAATATTTTCTTATGGATAAAAATCATTTAATAGAGTAAGAATGTTTTCTTTTGGACTGAAATTTGCTAGTCTGGTCTTATCTGGTCTGATCTGTTATGAACTGGTCTGGTCTGGTAAACGTCTGATCTCTGTGTATTTTATAACTATGAATATTTGGTCTGATATGATATGATTTGATCTGGTCTGAGACTGAAAACGGTCCAAAAAAAACATCCTAATATACCATACGTTGTGGAGCAAAATCCTAGCACATCATACGGAGTATCAATTTATTAATGTGGGGTAAACCCCCGATCTGAGTCATAATGTTTTAGTCAAGGATGATTCATTGTTTGTTTAATCCTCAAACAAAACCAAGATAAAGACTTGGCTTGCAACATCATTATTACAGTAAACCAAACACGCCCTTCTATTCGTCCTTTTTAAAACTTTGATAAGTTTTACCGGCACGAGAATTAATAGAGTAAAATCTGTGTGGTTGAGATTTGTGCAGAGGAAAAGAATTAACAGGAACCACAAATTCTTTGCTTAAAGGGGAAAATGACCGTAAAATATATCGTACATCCTATTTTTGCAATTATTCACAACGAAGATGTCATTTACTCCTTCGTTTTGCATCTGCTTTTCCCAACCCCAATTCCGGCACTACATCTTCGAGCCGTTCAGATGCTCCCTCCCGAGAAATCAACTGTCAACAACCCAATTCGGATAACTTTCATGGAATTAACACGGCACTTGCAGATGAATCAAACAATTGACAAATTTACGTCGTTGAAAAAGATGGAATCAGGGACGGATCCAGGATTTCGAGTCAAGGGGGGCGAAATTTTTTCATTAGTGTAGGGAGTGAAAAAATTTCGCTAGTAAGCGAAACGGAAAAAAAATCGCTAGGGTAGCGGGGCGTATTTTTTCGCTAGTGTAGGGCTCTGTGGCTAATTTTTATTTAAAAAGTTCCATTAGTACATACTACATACACGATGACAATTAAATCTATTATATTCTAATTCTAATTGTAGACAATGAAAAGATAACTTTGATTTAATAACTATAAGTGCTCCAGAAAAAAATATTGATACATTAAAGCTTAAGAAATGACAAATTAAAGGAAAATTATTTGAAAATAAGAAAGGATACGATATACGTAGTATAACATTTTATGATATTATTTGAAGGTAAAGTGCTTAAAGTTAAATGTACACATCAACCAATGCTTCTTAAGTAACTTATGTCTTGTTTAACCACATGAATCTTAACAGGATAAAGAATTGATTTTTGAATTGAGATTTTTGTCTATCAAGAAGGGTATTTGTGGGTCATGATGAATTTTCTTAATGTTACAATAGTATGTATGAGATTATTATACTTAGAATAATATGATACGTAGTAATGTTAATTCATATATATCTGGTGCATATTATATTTGCATTAATTCTAAAAGAAGTTAAAGTATTATCTATTCAACAAATTGTTTTTAGAAAGTAAGAGGTAAATGAAATGTGTAATTTAATGTCAACAAACATTTATACTATTTAACTATTGTATCTGATATTCAATATCTTTTGATATCTTACGAAATCAAGTACTAATTATCTAATAAAGATAATTAAACATTACAAAACTAAGAACTTTTTGGTACCCTGAGTCTTAAACGAGTTCTATTGTTTATTTGTTTAAGTTATGTAAATTATTTTAGATTCTACTTCTTTTAAATCTCCAATTAAGCATTGCATTATGTGAGCCTATATATTAATTTTGTAAACTAAAAGTTAAGGGGGGCGAAAACATATATACCTAATTAAAGTATGAAAATTTTATGAAAATATTATATATATAGTAGAAAAATTTGGAAGTCCAAGGGGGGCGGTCGCCCCCCGCGCCCCCCTTGGATCCGTCCGTGGATGGAGTACTGGAGTAGCCACCTTAATTGAAGTGGATTCTGCTAGGGATGACTCTGACAGGCAGGAGGGAGTTGCAGATCTCGGCAATTGCAATGAATATAACTTCTCCATTGTCAACTTTTTTAGACTTCCACTTCTTTTTTAGTTTTCATTCTTTTAATTGTGTTAGCAACGTAACTTTAATTTTAGAATTTTAAAATGAATTAATTGAGATGAAAATTTGATTAAAAACAATTCTACCTCTTTACATTTGATTAATAACACTCAATTGCATGATTCTAGTACTCAAATTAGGAGATTTGATACTCAATGAAAATGTTTTGATACTCAACTAACAAAACTTACGATTTTCGTATCAGTGCTCATTTGATAAGTTCTGTATGCTCATTTGATATCAGTGTTATGCTCATTTAAAAAATGTACATGTTATATTAATGTATATTTCAAAAGTATCATGTTACATTAGCTTCACATATGAGTTGATTATAGATACGAGAGTACAGACCATGATACTCATTTGGATGTCTCTAATACTCAATACATGAGGTTTGATGCTCAATGAAAATGATTTAATGTTTAGCTGAAAAACTTATGATTTTCATATCAATGCTCATTTTGTAAGTAGTTACGTATGCTCAATTGATACTCATGTTATGCTCATTTTAAAAATGTCATATCAATTCATATTTCAAATGTATAAATTTACATTAGATTCACATAAAATTACTATATTTGTAATTCGAGAACGAAAGACTATATTATTTTTGACATAAAATTACTATATTTGTGATTATATGTGCATAAATGAATATTTGAACACATTACAGAATTCAAATGAGTTTTGAATTTTTTATGCTCATTTTGTAAACTATATATGTTCATTTGACACTGGTTTTATGCTCATTTTAAAATGTCATATTAATGCATATTTTAAAAATATCATATTTATATACATGGGAGCAGTGATCATAATACTCAATTGCATTCTTCTGATACTCAAATGAGAATGTTTGATGTTCAATAAGATATTTTG